GGAAGGGACACCCAGCAATCAGGTACATTTGAGGGAAAATACTGGAAAAATGCTATTGACGTCAGGGTACTTCTAATGCTGCACAAAAATGCTGAGTCCTTTGTAAAAATCTCCTGCAGCATGAAAAATGATTTAATGGAATGAACAGTTTCTTCATTTGAAAACAATATCAACACACTTAGAAGACTGAGCAAGACGTGTAGCACCGTATTTCCCTCCTGTGCTAAGAACTGCATGCAGTATGTACAGCTGATGTACATCAACAGAGCTAGTGATTAAAAAAAATTCAGCTGGAAACAGATTCTAGCAGCAGCAGCAGATTAGAAATTATTAAGGGTTGTTTTGATTCCTGTGTTATATATTATTTTTCTGCCTTTACAAAATATTGTATTGTCCAATCAATAGTTGACTAATGTCTCTCTTGTGCTTTGTCATTATTAACCTGTTTCTTTATGTGTTTCTGATGGAAAATGATAACAAAGTCTCTCTCTTTATCAGTAATATGGAACACCCTGGGAAGCCATATTACTTCCATAAAAATTTAATTTAAAGAACAGAACATGCCCATGTGCCAGTGGTAGGCTTAAAATATTAAAGATTTTTTTAAAAAAAAAAACCAACATCCAACAAACCCCTAAGCAGTTCCTCTCTGTACAATAATGGAGAATATATATCTTTGCTATATATTTTAAACATGGAATAGCTTTTTCTCTTTGCTATATATATGTCTTTCAAAATACATTGTCAGTATTTGTACTTGAAAAATACTGTACAAAACGAACATACTACAATTATTCTGTATAAACTTTACACATTTTATAATCTCTATTCTTTTGGTCTATAGTAAACACTTAAATTGATTGGATTAACCACAGTATATGACAACACCATCCCCCTCTAAAATACACCAGTGTCTCTTACATTCATTTTTCAGAAGTCCACTTTATATTAGAACACGTGTGTTCAAAAGCAAAGAGAGTTTAAAACAACAAAGTTCAGAACCATCAGTTCATGTCACACTCGAAGCAACAATCACTAGGAAAGATGGGCTTTGCAAACCAGTGACAACTTCTAACTGAACAAAAGTGATTTTTAAAACAGCAAGATATAATCCACAGAAAATATATTACAGAACATGGAAAAAACCAACTGAATTTAGGTATTTATTTAAATTTTAATCACAAAATGGAACTTGAAGAGATGCTTCACTAACTGAAAACAGAAAAGCCCCTCTGATCTCACCGTTGGATCTGATTTGATACTATTAATTTTGTTCTCATTTCAACTAATTATCCTGCTTCTTACACATGCGCTCCCTGCAGCAGGGACACGACCAGCATGCTCACGTGAACATGGCTTTTACTTTTAAACTTTTTGTTAAAGACATGAAGACTCCTGATGGGCAGGGAGACCATCCTAGGGCCAGCAGGAGCAGGCGGGCAGCATGCGCGCTAGCGTACACGGGGTTATTGCTTCAGGTACAAACAGTGCAAGAGACACTCTGTGCTCTACCACCAGCACTCCTACCTACCTGGGGTCTGTGGAGAGAAAAGGAACCTTAACAGCTACAGAGAAGCCATTATGGGTTCTATAATGAGTACAGCTAACTCAGGCTAACAGCACTTTAAATCTGAAGACAATTATCACCAAAACTTAAAATACAACAAAAGCAATCTATAAATTAATATCTCTGCAGTGTAGTACTAAAATTATTATTTGTGCACTTTACTAGCATGTTAACTTTTCTGGATAGACAGACTGAAACAATAGCTCGTTACTCTCGAAAAACTGAATTTTTTTTTTCTTTTTTCTTTTTTTTTCCTTTTTTTTTTTTTTTTCATTTATACCAGGATCTTTCCAAGTAAATCAGGAGGATGGAACCGGTTTCCAGAACATAAAAAAACAAAACAAAACAAACCCTACTCTGAAGCAGCACTGAGAAAAATATAATAAAAAGCTTACTATGGCGGTCGGTTCTCAACAGTCCAGGTAAAAATGTGGCACCCTTTGGAGAGGGCTTCATAAAAATGGGAAGTGCTGAGATGCACCACACACACACACAGACGTGTGGTCACATGTGCACCCATATGCACACACACACACACACAGGTACACGCACACGCAAACAAAAAAACAAACGTCAGTTTTGTTTCTGCTTCTGGTAAAGTGCTGAAGACAGAAAGGTTGGTTTGGGTGCGGTGCTATCAAACAGGAAACACATTGTCCATCTAGGCAGATGCCAACCCACAACGGAACAGAAAAAAAAGAAAAAAAAAGAAAAAAGAAAATAAACCCAAAAAACCAAACAACAACCCCACTTCCCCCCCCCTCCTGGAATCTACAGGGGCCCGTGTCGAGCTTCGTACTTGGCCAGGACGTTCTTGCACTTGCCCAGCTCCTTCCGCAGATCGGCCACCTCCTGGCGCAGGGCCGAGTTCTCCTTCTCCAGGAAGGAGGCGCGGATGGCGATCTGGTTCTCCTTCAGCCGCCGCGCGTCCCGCGAGCGCTTGGCTGCCATGTTGTTCTTTCTGCGCCTTGCCCAGTATTTGTCATCCTGCTCATTAAAGACAGAAAGAAACAAACAAGATATTAGATTTCGGCAAACTGAGCGGGCACCAGGATGTGCTCTGAGCCGCAGCCTCTGGGCCAGGGATGACTGAACTCTGCACGTTTTGCTTGCCTGGCCTAGAGAGCCCTGAGACAGAAGTAACAGATTTATGGGGCATAATCCAGCCAGGGAGCACAGATGCCTGCCCACATTTCTGTCAAAATGGTTACATTAACTCCCTCATCCTCTTGACTGTGAATTCCTCCAAGGAAAAATGAAGCAATATTCCAGTGGTACAATTCATGTCCCAGCTATGCTGACCTAGTTACAATCCACCTTCACATCTGGTGACTCACTCTCGACTGGCTGCTGGAGCAGCACCACTTACGTCTTGCATGGCCCTGCTCTTCTCCTTTGCCAACCAACACCTGGGTCACACTCTCTGATGGTATCATCCATTCCATCTATCATCCACCTGTTTTCCTCTCTTCACAGTTCTTTGTCTACAGAGCCCCAAAGTGCTCCTGTCTGTGCCCTAGAGCAGCAAGTCACTGGAAGAGGATCCCTTGGCACAAGGATGGCTGCAGTGGTACCACTCTCAAAGAGATTAGTACAATAGGCTTTGACTATGGGGGGAAAAAAGCATTTGCCAGAAATAGGTCCACTAACCTCTGAAGTTTCATAAGCTAACACATTCTCAAAGTGTTCTGCCTAAAGACTTGCCTCTAGGAGTTCACCTTATTGCACTGGTGCATCAGTGGCTCTGAAGTCACTAATGAACGTCACTCTTCAAATGAAGTGGCCTTCAGTGAAATGGCAGCTTCAACATTGCTTTGAAACTGAATTAAGCTTCAGACATTTGGAAGCACCCAGTAAATACAAAGCAGGCAGGATCTCTCACAAAAAGCAATAATTAGTCCCCTCAGAGTGAGAGCGAAGCAGCCACTCAGCCCCACACTGCCTGGTCAGGCCATATAGCTCCAGCTTCCCCTCTCAGAGCCATCCCTCCATTTCTTATATGGTTACAGCTGCCTGTGTGGCTCTCCCATTTCTCCAAGCATGGGAGCCCAGTTCCATACCCACTACAGGGACCAGGAGCCACCTGCTTCTACGTTGCACTGAACAGACACCCCACTACTCCTCTGTCCCTCAGTAGGAAATGCCAGTCCCTGCCAGGCCTAACACTGTTCTGCATCTTCTCCCACTGCTCTCACTTAAGCCTAACAAGGTGTTACACACAATGGTGATTTGAAGTCAGCGTATCTCTAAATTGCTCTTCACCTGCACTTGGATGGGACTCCCAAAAACCCTCTTAAAAACAAGCATGCAGCAAAAAGCTATGACCCAAATCTTGTTTATAATTTCCCATCTCGTTCCACTCCATAAAAATCAGCTTTAAGCAATTTATTAGTGTGCCACCTAGCCTTCATCCATCTTTATTTTAACAAATTGCTATGGCAAATCCCTTAATCCAGGCCTGAAAGAGGTAAGGCTGGCATTTCAAAATCACATGCAACCCAGAGACGATTGACTGGTCTAATCTGCTTACCCTCCCCCAGAACTCAACAGCCATTCCACATGGCAGGGCAGAAGCAGCACTGGGGATCAAGCACTCTGAAATGAGTCAAGGGCAACTGACGTGATCATCTCGGGGAAATGAGAGACCCTGAACTTCTAGCTCAGGCACAAGCTGAAATACTCTGCGCCACACTGCTGCATGCAGGACACTGCTGTTCTCCAGCCCTGGTGTCCAAGGGCAGATTTGGCCAACATTTGCTTGACATATAAGGATCCCAGGAGGTACCACAAAGGCAGGAATGGCACTAAGGAGCTCACTGCAGTCTCCCTGCACTCACACTGCCATTTCTGCATCCAACACCCCTCTTTAGGCAGAACTCTCAGCACTCTGCAAGGCCAACACAGCACCACTGGTGGCCTGTTTCCCAGGTAAGAAACAGCCACGTGCAGATAAACCTTCCTGACCAAAGGCTGAGGATGCTACAGACAAAGCGACAGCAACAGACACCTGAACACTACTGGAATTGTCATTTCTGTGCTTTTAACGTGCACAACAGTACCCCTGGGGATAAAAATAGCAAACAGCATCAGCTTCTCTCCCTAATGCTATCAATCTGGTGTAAACACATGGCATCCCAGCCTCTCCCCAAGCACAGCCGGGGAGTCCCACTGACTCCAACAGGCTTTCGTGTCTCAGGGGCCAGTAGCAACAGTATAATTATGCACTTGCTACCTCTGATAAAAAAGATCCTTTTGGAAGTCATACACTGGGAACAGAATGTTGTAAATAATGACAAATTTCACAGTTGCTTGGTAAGCTGAATCAGCTGATCAATTTGTCCTGCTCTGTGCTCTTCACACCTCAGAAGCTTGAGAGGAATAGACAAGGGTGCTCTTTTAAAATACTGTATTATTATTATTTTAACATATTTGAAACATTGTGTTAAAATACCTTTCTTGGCAGAATAATTTTGTTCTGTTCTAGAGCTAGTTTAGATTCTTTCACCTAGGTAAGCACTGTTCACTTCATTAGACACGCTCCCCTTCATTATTAGACAAAGAGCTAAAGCATCTTCCACACAGTCTACTTCATTCTGTTAATAAACAGAAACATCCATGGACCCTGCAAGAGACAGATTCTCCTGGGAAGAACTTACAGTCTATGCTGATGAGACAGACAGAGGATGGAGGAAAAGGAAACATGATCAGACTGTTTCATAAGTGGGGAAATATGGGACAAAGTAAGCTAAGGTCACACAGGAAGTTCCTGGCATACAAAGGAAATGAATATTGATCTCATGAATTTCAACTGTTGTGTAACTAATAAGGGACATCCTTCCCTCAGCCTTATTCCGAATTGTTATTGTTTTATTCTACAAGAGTTGTATTGAGTATTTATTTTACATGAGAAAACAGATTCATGCCCCAAACCCACACCTCAGAGAATAGCTGCCCCAGAGCGTGTAAGAAACAACCTCGTCACCAGTTCCAACTTACCTTCAGGTCGTCTGGAATGAAGACTTTGCGAGCTTTCTTAATCATTGGCTGTGGTTTCAGCTCTTCTTCAGAGAATTTGCGCTTACGAGGGTCAAACATCTCCTGGCCAGGAATACTGGAGAGAGCAAGATCTGCAGGGTCAGGTTCATAGCCAACAGGAACTTGGATAGTCTCAGGATCAATGGGACTTGGTGTGTTTCGGTTTGCTGGCAAGATCTGACCTACAGAAATAAAGGATAAACATGTAAATAACATCACTGAGCATGGATTTCAGAAGACCCTTAGACATCTTGCAAGCAATAACTCTTTAAACATACACTGTAAATTTGTTACCTACTCTTGCTATACATTAGATTGTCCATTTTGTTGGGTGCACGTTCAGATCCAGTCATGCTCATGCCATTGTTTTTGGAACTGGTTTCTAATTCTGGTTGCTAATCTTGGATGCCCACTTAAGATCAATGAATCCAACAGAGCTGCACAAGATGGCAGGTAGAAGAAGACAGTGCTCCAACCCCGGCCACTTCATTAAGAGCCCACCTTTAGGAACAAATCATGAGTACTGTCATTTAGCTCTGATTTATCCACCACAATTTCCCAGGTTTCTCATACACAGACTTCTTTACATCTACTTCATACCTACCTATACCTTTGAAGGTACATTTAGTTTACAATCAATATACAGTACTTGCAATAGGACAATAAATCATGAAAATATATTTTCAAGCTGTGCTGTCCAGTAAAGAGACCAGTATTTTCCATTAAATCCTAACTGGTAATATTCTAAAAGCCAGTGAAGAAAACTAGCAACATGAAAGGCTACAATGACTACTTAGAGATGCCCTGCAAAAAGTAAAAGAGCACTTATTTATGCTACATTGCTCTTTTACAGTATATAAAATCTAATTAAAAGGAGCCTATCCTCAGAAAATAATGGTATCCCCCCATTTTTCTTTTTTAATCTTAGGTATAGCCTTCAAGGTCCCACACCACTGATTCAGGCACCATTCCCACTAAAAATCCAATTTAAAATTTCAGCGAAGGGTTCCAAAAATAGGATCCTAAAGTCAGCTGCCTAAACATGGGCTGTCCCTGGGGGCAGAATCTTCAGAAGTTTTCACGTGCCTCAGAAGTACGAGCCTCACAGACTTCAGAGGAAGGACTTCTGATAGAAGCAGAAATTCTTTTATAATTCTGGCTATTAGCTAATTCATTTTGATTTTAGAGATATGGCAGCTTTCATAATAACTACACAAACATCCTGTGACTGTGTAATATTTCCTTATTTGTGCCTCCATCTGCAGTATTTAGGGTGTAAAATGGTAAACATTAAATGTCATTTCTAATTCCAAACCAAGGTCAGTGTTAACAATGTAGTTCTTACTTTAATCTAAAAGACTGCAGCAACAATATTGGAACTGCACAGAAGATGCACCAGGGAATTGCATTGTGCAAAGCAGGGCTTGCTAACAGAGAGCTCCTCTTTTGTAACTCCTATTTTAAAATAGCACTGACAAAATATCAGCCTTCAAGAAAGGTTAGTGAGGCTCTGGGAGGAGAGAAAAGGAGGATCAAAGTTATTAAAATCTATACACGTCGGTAGGAGAGCGAGCCCGGGGGAAGGGTCCGGCTGCGGCACCGAGCGGAGCGACGGAGGCGGCGCCGCCTCCTCCCGCCAGGGGGCGCCCGCCCAGCGCTGCCCGGCCCGGGGGCCGCGATCCCGGCCCCGCCCGCTCCTGTAAGCCGGGTCAGGAAGGGCAGGGAAAGGCCCCGGGAAGGGCAGGGAAAGGCCCCGGGAAGGGGCAGGGAAAGGCCCCGGGAAGGGGCAGGGAAAGGGCCCG